AACCTGAAGCTACTGAATTAATAAATAAGTCAGCTACTCAGTCTGGTTTCTTAATTTCAGTGACTGAAAATCTAATTTTTATAGTGTCCCTCAGGTAGTTCATACAAAATTCAGCTCTTCACGGTCCTTGCTTAAATTGCAAGTAAGATGAGTTTAACTGTCTCATTCTTAGCAGAACAAAACCTCTATCACAGCTTAATTCCCTTCTCTTGCAGAATCATTTGGGAGCAATGCCAGAAGTATCAGACTAAGGTGACATTGCAGTGAAAGGAGTCAAAAGATGAAGATATTTACACATCTATATGTTTTTAAGTTGCAGAGATGCAACTATGTGCTGTGTCTTCCTTTTATCCTCAAGCAATAAATAAGAGGTGAAGGTGGGGGTGTCTTTGGCCACAAAGCACCTCTGCCCTCTGGACTCCTGAAATAGGCAGTGGCATCCCAGCAGGACTTGTTCACAATGATGTTAACTTCCACACACTGATTGCTCATTTTGGTGTGTTCATGCCCAGCTGGATACTCAATGCATTGTTTCATGACACCAAAAAAGCACAGGCAGTACCTATGGATATGCTTGTGCTAGTGCCTCCGGTATGGACATGCACCTGAGATGCTCCTTGATCACTTTGCCTGTTTGTGTTCATATTTCCATGGGCAGACAGCCTTGTTAATAATACAAATGGTCCAGTTCTGATCATCTGTTGTCACCACTGTTCACAATAAACACAGAGTGCTTCACCTTTACAGTATGCAACATTAGCACATGTGCATTCTTAGTGCCATCTTACTCCTGCTTGGAGAGCATTTGAGAGGGAAATTTCCTAAAAACTGTGTACAGAACATGCTGGGCATGCTTCATCCATGATCTACAGGACAGCTGCAGAGCAGTCCTGTGGCAGATTTGGGGGGTTAACCTAGTGAATTATCCACTTGCATGCTAAAATTCCAGCAGGAGTGAGGTAGAGATCAGTCTCTTTTCTGAGGTAACAAGTGACAGGACCAGACTAAATGGCCTCAAATTGTGTCAGGGAAGGCTTAGATTAGATATTAGAAAAAAGCTTCTTTACTGGAAGAGTCATCAGGCATTGCAAGAGGCTGCAAACGGCAGTGGTGGAATCACCACCCTTGCAAGGGTTTAAAAGGCATGTGAATGTGGCACTTGAGAATAAGGTTTACTGGTGAATATGGTGGTGCTGGATTAATGTTTGAACTTGATGGTTGTGGTGGTCTTTTCCAACCTTAATGATTCTATGAATCTATGAGTCCAGAGCTCTAAGCGTTCAACTTGCCATGCTATCATTCCTTTGATACAATTTACATGTAAGGATCACACAATCCAGCATTAATTATTTGTGTGAATGCAAACAAAAGGAACCCCAAATGCTACAATAATGTTTTTAACCTCATCTTTCACAGCAAATGCATTGAACTCCAAGATTCAGTACTCACAGTTGCTGAGCTAAAAAATAACTTATTTTCTGAGGTTTTTCATATATATTTTTTTGGAAGAGATAGTTACAGATAAACCATTACCATCTCAGAACATAAGTCTTGTCAAGAAAGGATCAGGAATATGAATCACATTCCCAGTAGACTGTAATTTGTATTAAATGTACCAATAGGCAGTGCATTCAAATCTTGACTCTGCCTGCCAGAAGCCTTGTATTCTCCATTAAAAAGTACAATTTTTCCCATCAGTAAGTCAAAAGCTGGAATTACTCAGCATTGAATCATTTGAGGCCAAACATCTATTAACACATTTAGAGACATGGGCAAATATTTCCAATGCACTGTGATAGCTGGCAGATAATTTGCTCCTAGTATCTCTTCAAAGGTCTTGGTAGAGACAACAACTGAACTCATGAATAAGCTAAGGAATACAAGAACAGCAACTTAAAGCAAAAATTTTGGTTTAATATCCAAGTAAATGTATAAACATGAATCAAATTTTTAATGTTTTCTACCAAAATTCATTTTAAGGTAGTTTCACGGAATTCAATGCACAGCAATAATATTGGAACTAAAAAAATTGTCTTTATCCTTGTAGCTAAATAAAATAGCAGCATCATATATAAAATGTACATTTCTGATTGAAATAATGGTTCTCATATTTTAGCTTCATAACTGGTCTACATATGTCACACTGTCCTAAATTTGTTTTCTTTGAAAACTTATTGTAGGATGTATGATGATTTCATCTGAATAGTAGTTATGATAGTGATGATCATGATGATCACTTCTATCACGATGATGGAAATGATAACAGTCATGACAAGAAATCACATCTTTCTTGGGTCTTATTATTTTTTACTACATTGATTGTCTTGAAAAGTGGTCACTGGCATGTAAGGAGAAATCTTTCTAGTTATATCCACCTCCCCAGCCATAATTTCCAGAGATTTTCAAGTTCAAATGTTTTTGTTTGGCATTTTTTAAAACTTCTTCTCTAGATGGCAACGTAATGTTTCCTCCACAAAGTCCTACTGATTCCTGCATTGTTAACACAGAATTCAGAAGATTTGTAGCTAAAATCCAGGTAATACACAATTTTAATAATTTTGGTACACTAAAATGGATGCAAGAAACACAAATTCAAAATCCTAAAGATTGTTCAAAGTGTAAGACATGATATAAAAAAGCTCCTGATGAATACAATAGCACTTTAATAGGTTTGCACTGTATCCCTAGGACAACATTTGGATGGAAAGGCAAGAAGTCTTTGCTTGGAGTTTCATTGCCCCCAAAGTTCATTATGGAGATGGTGATATACCTCAGTTAAATTAGTTCCTACAACCTACTGGTAGAAATCGTATGCTTTGGTCTGCTGCACCGGGGAAAGGATGTGGCTAGTTAGTTTCACTCAAAGTCTGTTTTTTCTTTGGCTCCTAAAGAGTGAAGTTCAAATTAATAAAAATTTTTTGGAGTTAATTGTAAAAATGCCCAGAATCTGCCCCCTTAATGAGATGACCTTCAGAAAGTCCTCAAGTGGTAATCACAGGAGCGTCATATTAACCCAGGGAAAAGACACAGCTTCTGTCCTTTTGTTTCAGACAGGCAAAGTGAAGATAAGCTCAGCTACCTTAGCAAGAGATTAAGGCAGGTAGAGTTTGGGAAATATTTTGCAGATCATGAAGTTCTACCAGGGACCAGGAGAGCAGAGAGGGACCTGTTGCTGGGCACACATACGGCTGAAGAGGTACAATTTGGAATGGCACTCAGAGTTTTGATCTGGTAGGATAGATTAAATCAGTTTTTATTTCTGATTTTCTAACAGCATGATTTCCTTTCAATTCAAATCTATATAGATCAGCTATGGATCATCATAAATAGATCCTCAGTAGAGAATAAATTATTTGTGACTGCATTACTACAAGTAACACAATTCCTATTGGAACTGTTTGCAATCCTGTTTTACTGCTGTATGAACAAACTGTTTCATAATCATGGATGTTTCCTGTAGATAGGCAGAGCATTCAGGCCCAAATCTCTACCTTGTGAAGTCAGAAAACAACTTTATTTTTTTTTTTTCCCCTACTCTATGGTATCCAACCCAAAGAGAATTTTCCTAAATGAACTGATTAGCTAGGTCGTCCCGCTCTGCCTTTGCCAGTTCATGACACCCTTAAGCCAAAAGCAGCTAACATTCACAACCTCTTGAGGATAATTTGTCCTGGTCATGTGTTTGACAAATAGAGATTACAGCTATGTTTGGGTCACAGAATAAACCCTGCCAGTTCCAACTTGTGTCTCCATATCATTCTGCCAGTCCTCTCCCAACAACAGAGACACAGGAGAGGTTTATTCCACTCGATAACCAGTTTCTCTTGTGAGAACTAAATGATCAAAGTGAAATTGTCAGGACGTTACTTTGGCACAATCTTTAAAATTCCTCAGCATTATTTCATTGCAAGATTAAAAAGATTATCATGCACCACTTCTATCTTCAGTATTCACCATTTACAAGAATGTCAACTGGGACTGGCTATGAAAATATAGAAGCAGTTCTGTAGAATAAAAAAATGATCAAAATATATTGTTAAGAATGCAAAACATGTTGGGATTTTCTTTTCATACTACTAGGTTGTTTTTGTAGTTTCTTTTTCCTATAATAAATCTATACAGAACCAATAGATTACATTGTCTTTCATCTTTCTTATCTCTACTGCAAAATATAAACTACTAATTTTTAAGCAAGAATCTAATTCCTTTTAGTGAACTGTGCCTTTCCCAAGTAGTAACAAAACCATGGAAAGTAAAAAAAAAAAAAAATCCCCACCCAGATAACCAGAAAGCATGTCACAGTGCCAGCATCAACAACATAGTAATTCATTTCAGGACTGGGAACAGTAGGGGTTTTTTTTACTCAGAATTTATTTGTGTGAGAAAACAGAACCTAGGCTTTGATGAGAAAGGCTTTCATCTGATAATTGGATTTTTTCCATTTTTATGGGCTTCCACAGTGCTCCTGGGGACTCATATATTTCAGTTACTGACTCTCCCATATGGATTAAACACCTTGGCCAGACTACAGTGTTGTGCCAAAGTCAACCCTCTCTCTTAATGAGATACTGCAATACCTGTTGGAAATCTAAGTGCAGTGAATTGAAAAATATACAGTTCAGATGAAGATTCAAAATAGAAAGTAAAAAAAGGGCACAAGATGTTCAAACAACTTCCAAGAGCACTGATGGATAAATTTACAAAGAGGAAAAATTTTATTTTTAAATGTAGGGGTTTTTTTTGAGAAATAAGATAAGTCCTGAAAGGGGTACATTATTTTAAAAAATAAAATGGAAAGGAAAAAATTTACCCAAATGAATTTCCCATCATTTGAAAATGAGTTTTGATGGAAAAACAGTGGACCTGAACAAAACCCCCACTGAGACTGTTAGTCAGTACTACCCATGGGGTAGGCAGGGCATGTGGGATAAGGACGTACATTTGGAAAATGCAGCCCACTTCATTTTCCTAAGAGAAAAAGCAGGAATTCCTGTGTTCAAATACCTCCTAACAGACTGAAACAAAAAGTATGCTTAGCCTGTAGTTTGCACCATAGTACAGTAAACTTTAATTTTCTTTTTAAGAGCAGGACTGATGTCAGGGGAAGGAAAATTAAAAAATCAGAAAGGAAGTACTTGAGAGACAAAAATATAAGTGTTTTGAACATTACAGATGGTGAAAAATCATCACTGAACTTAAGAAGTTCTGATATTTCATCCACTACATGATTAAAATATCTGAGATAGGGACAGTTAACATTTCTCTCATACTTTTAATGAACACAACGAGGTACTGTTATTTGCAAAATCCAAATTATTTATAGGGCCAGTAACAAATATATCAGCAATGCACAAATGTAAGTAGTAGAAGTTATACATTTAAAGTTCTACCAGAGATCAGATCAGGTGGTGTCAAATGGCACAATGACTCCACTGTGCTGTCTGAACAGAACTGTGACTTCCATGAGTTCTGGATCTGGATGACTCTCTGCACATGATCTGAATGCTTGTTTTCTTTGCAAATTAAAGCCTTTTGAGGAGTTTTGCTGCTAATACAGTAGTGCAGTAACACAGGTGATTCCTTGAAGCATTTCTGTTAACAGTTCCTTTCAAGTCTGCATATTATACTGTGTAACTAACTACAATCAAAGGAAATGGAAGAAAAAAAAAAAGCCAAAACAAAAATGCCACCATTAACCATTAGATTAGGTCATAAGGGAAAACTTCACTAAGAGCTAATTGACTGAAAGTCTAGAAAGTCAGTGAGTGGCTGTATCAATACCCTATCAATAGAATGGATTGTATCTTCGATATTCTTACCCCGGATGAGGACATTAACTTGAGTTACAGATTTGCTCTAACAGGGAATTTTTTGGTGGGGTAGAATTATTAACTACTAATTAAAGGGAGAGGGGAATAAACCAGCAAAAAAACCTACCAGCTGTAATTATAGTAAGACACTTCATACAAACGCTTCCCATTCCTGCCTGGCTCTGGTACTACCTTCACCCACCTTCTTCCTCTTCCTAACATCTGGAGACCTGTGCTTGTCAGCTGGGCTGGGCACTAGCTTTTCCCACTATAAAGAACAGCAATATTTGGTTCTTGCCCTTATCTTGTCTAATTATACAGAGAATAGAATCATAGAATATGCAGCCATTTCAGCATAAACACACCTGAAGCAGAACTATTCACTGTACAGCAGAATTTCTCACTATGTGATCAGTGTTTAATTTAAATCAATATTTCTTTGACTACAATTTAAAGACTATTAAAACCCCACAATTTTATAGCTTTTCTACTGATATTTGAGACTGCTAGCACTCAGAAAACTGAAATGTGATGAAACACAGTATAATGTAGACAGATTACACATCACCAGATGTAAGCGCCACAAAGAGTCTCTGGGAATGCAGATCCCTTCTCACCTGAAAGAACCTTGCTGATACTCCTTCCGTATTCCTCTGATCAGATTGCAGACATTGAAAGGAAATAAGTAGCTACGTCCATACAACACCCACACACCAGCAATCAAATGGCATTTGAAATAAAGATATGCAGATTTATTTTTACAGCAAAGGGAAATATTTGAATTTGAACATAAAGGGATACTAAGGAATAGAATAATTGGTTCTCTGCCAACAAATCCCATGCTAGAACAAATGGGTCTGAATGCCAAATGAAAGCATCCACTTTTATTTAGAGTATGTATATGTGTGGGTATGGGGTGTACACAGGTGTCCAGTTAACTGCTTACACATCAGGAAATGCATGGAAAATCAAATCCCATGGAGTGAAGCCAAAAAACCTGAACTGCTTCTATGCTGCTGATACCTGCAAGCCACAATGGAATTTGAAACTAAAGTAGGGGTTCAATGTCACAAGCACACCAAATTCTTTTATTTTTTAAATTATATTAAGCTCCTTGGCACTTTATAAATGTACATAAAGAGTTAATTTAAACCACCTGCTAGTAAGAGCTGGCAAAAGCTTTTTCTGACTTTGTGCTGCCTTCTCAAGATTTGTCACTGTCCCTCAATCACACCAGAATGATGAACAATTCATGGTTCACTCTGAAAACATATTCAAGTTTAATTAGATCAGGTTTTTTTCAATTATGGTTCAATTTGTTGGACCAGGTAGTAATAAAATTTTACTACTTAGAAATCCAGAATCACAGATGCGGATTTTAAGTACTTTAGGACACAAAATATCTAAGATACTTTTAGGTATCTTTGTCAATCTTTACAGGAATTCAATCACCACAAGACAGTGGTGATTGAAGCACTGAGTCAGGCTTGCACAGCACAGAAACTTCCTGAATATGCTGCAGAACTGCAGAGAAATATATTTTTACAGCAAAAAACAATTTTTCAGCTTCCTTATCCACAAAACAAGGGACGATGGTAAAATATCAATATGTCTTGTGAACAGGGGGAATGTGACAAAACAACAAAAAGCTCTCAGCATTTATGCAGAAGTACTGTTATCCTCAGGGTCTCTGTCTGCGAGATGAATGCTCCCCGTGAACACGGACTCCTCTTGAGCCGAGGTACTCTCCAGCTGCTTATTTGTGCAATATGGAATCTGGCCACAGAAATACATGTAAATCCATGGGTTGGCACAACTATTTAGATTGCCAAGGAGCATTATAATGGTGAATGCCGAACCTAGAACAAAACAGTTATAGGAATAAGAGACGAATTAAAGCACTCTTATGAATATAAGGCACATTTTCACAGTCTGCTGCTTTCTGCTGTATCTATTCATATGTTAAAACCAATCCAATAGTAGGAAATTCCCATATCAATGCAATTTGCAATTGCTGAAGGTATAAAGCAGACTTTGTTGTATGCATTCAGTTAAATAGTTTCATATAGCCCTTTTTGGAAGTAGTTGCATTAATTTTAAAAGCAATTACTAAGCTGCTAAACAGATACAAATAAATACAGGTATATATTTTTACATAAATTATGTAGAATAAAATCAAACTCACACTGACAGGAGGAATTCTTAAAGTTCAGAAACTACCATTTTTATCAGGCAGGACTATTATATTTTCTTCTCTTTTTTTTTCCTCTTTATTTAGAATAGGTGATTTAAAGACACATATAGAGTCTGCCTTTCACAAAGAGACAATAGTATAAATTTGTTTACAACATGGTGTTTGATAACTCTCTCAAGTTTGCTTTTTTGATTTATAAAGATGCTGGCTGACAACTTTTGGTTGTTTCATAGTTTACTACAGAGATTTCATCAATACGATTTCAATAGTAAAAAAAATCAGATGTCTTACAACACCACTGTTCTACCCAGTAAATAAGAAATAATTTTATTACTTTGAATAGTCAATTGCTTCTTTTCACCTCAAGAACCCAAAACACTGCTGCTACAACACATACAACCTCTAAAAGTCTGAGGCTTTGATGAAGCACATGATACTTTTCACCATGCTGTTAGTGAATCTTTAAATGGTTAATCACTCAAGACACACACACACAAAACAAACACATGATGTTTTGATCACATAACACGAGAAGCTCCCTGTACCTAATTAAACACAGGAGATAATCAATCCAGGTATTTCTTTTTAATCCTCCCCAAAAGACCACATGTAACCTTTACACAGAAGCAAAATGCAAACATAAAGCACTCGACAGCAGTGTGCTAGCCTGCTCTGCAGCTGTGGCTGAGGAGGGAGAGCATCTTACCTTCGGTCAGGATGCTGGGGAACCACACGGACCACAGCTGGGCAATGAAGAAAGGTGACCAGCAGAGAACGTAGGCAACAACTGTCACCACTGTCATTTTTACTGTCTTGATCATAGCCTTTGAAATACAGTTCACACTGCTTGCTCGGGATGGCAGGACTTGATTCTGATTTGTTGCTTCACATTCATTCTGTTTTTTCACATTTATATTTCTTCTGATTATTTTGCAAATCTTGACCTGGCATGTGATAAGGATTGCTGAGGGAATGAAGAATATAACTACAAAAATCCAAGTCACATATGCCCTTGGGCCCCAAGGCTGAATAAATTCACCCCAACATTCAAAGACACCTGGAGATATTTCAGTCTTAGAAAAGATAAATACCTGCGGTAGGCTAAGAATCAGTGCTATAGACCAGCTGCTGCATATGGGGATGTTCCAGAGAGCTCTCTTCTTCTGGAAAGTGACCATAGGGTAGCAAACAGCTTGATATCTGTCCACTGTCATGACCACTATCATATAAGTAGAGGCAAACATGCCCAGCAATTGTAGATACTTGATAATTCTGCACAAGAAATCTGGCCCTATGAAAACATCTGTAATATCCCATATGAGTTGAGGCAGCACTTGGAAAAAGGCTACCACTAAGTCAGCAACGCTGAGGTGAAGCATGAACACATACATCCTAGAAAGCTTCTTTCTTCTTCGCCACAGCACCAGTATGAGAATGAAATTGCCCACAGACGCTGTCAGAAATATGACCCCCAGTACAGCAATCTCTACTTGTGCTAATTGCTCATCTCTTTCTGGTCTTCCAATAGGATCTGACTGATTTGTTAAACTCAGGAATCTGTGAGGAGGAGGACTCTCGGTCTGACGTGTGTTATCCTGCATAGGAAATGAAAAATTCTTCATAATGCACAGAAGCTACTCACAGTAGCTGCCACTTGCGACTGAGGTTGACAGCTGTGAAGCACTGGCTGGCAAACAAACCAGCCTGGGTTCGAGTTTCAGGATATCTTCAAGCAAATCTTCCTGCTCATGCGAACTAAAGCAGTGGGACTTGGATTGTGATAAAATTCTGCCTCTTGCTGGCATGCAAAAAGGCTTTATATAGGCTCCCAGCAGACAGAGACTTATGTAACTGCAGAGCCCTCGGGTAGGCTGCAGGGACAGCAGCCAATGGCAGACCGAGCCACACAATTGGGGGAAATATATAAATAAAAGGCAAACTTCAGAGACTCAGTGTGACTCAATTACTCACTTCAGTCAAAACCCGAACTTGGAAATAGCTGTGGCCAGACTCGTACTCAAATGACCTTACTCAGGAGAGTTCTTGCAAAAATTTTTCTACGCAAACCAGAGGAGCGCACTTTAGGAGAAGCGGGAGGAAGGTTTATACATAGATAAAATTGGATCCCTGAGCTCAGGCACATCATAATGGCAACCTCCAGGCTCCTGGGGCAGGACCACATCCTAAATGTAGCCCAGAGAAAGAAATGCATTTTTCCATAGCCCTTTTTTTCCTTCTTCTCTTTTTTGGAGTCACCTGGTTCTAAAATAAAAAGAAAAATATTTGTACTGCCCTAAAAATATTTTTTTGTTTTCAAAACAGGGTCAAGACTTAGAGTTTTTTTCTCAGCAAAACGAAAAATAACACATGCGAAATAAATTATTGGGATTGTGGGTCTACTGAGAATTTAATTTTAAAAAAAAAGTGAAAATTCAGTGGCAAATCCAACTGAGGAAAAGGTCTCTATGATGAAACAATACCCAAAGGTCTTATTCTATTATAGTGCTAAAGTCTGTGAGATAATTTTTCAGTATCTAAAACCTTTCATTTTTGTAAATACAAATTGTATCATGAACACAGGAAATTCATTGTTCTTCAACTTTCCCATATGACTTTTGCATAAAGTTTGTGGCAGATAAGAATAGAAAATTTAAACTGATTTCTTTTGTCTCTTAGCCTGCTCTCTTAATCACAAAAGAGAGAGATTAAATAAAATTGATCAGTTTAATATGAAAAATAAAATATAAAAAGATATTTGTATGCAATCTTACTTGAAGCTAGGGCACTCATATCCTTCTGGTTACAGTCAGGACACTGGTAGTTTGAAGTCTTTCTGAGGAGCAAACCAGTAAGGTGAAAAGCAATATCCATGCTGCATATATAGTACATAATACTGAACCTAAGCTGATTAATCACTGTGATCACAATTATATTATAAGAACAGCTCAGGAAGCTCACAGACAGACTACCACTTCTATGCTACTGAAGGTTTTCATGTACCAACGAACAGATGAAGGGCAAAATTCATAAAGAGGATGCTGTAGTAGACTACAAAAGTTTGGAAAACCTACATGACCTCTTTGCTCTCCCTCTTTCCCCCTTATCTGCCACCATGCAATGGATGTTAATAGCTCATGGCTGTGAGAACAGACAACAGAGAAGCTGAAGAATCTCAGGAAACTTTTCCACTGACAGCAGCTGTAAGTATCCATTATCTAGACTTGGCTCAACACTGCTGCAGCTGCCTGAGCCTACAAAAGCTTTTCTTTAAGATTGTGTTGCAAAGACTATGAATCACAACAACTTAATCTAATATACCTGATATTTGTTTCCTACATTAAGGCCTATTCGTAGGAAACTTGGATTCCTGAGGTTGTTTCCTTTTAGTTCCGCCCCCCCCCCTTTTTTTTCCCCCCCCCCCCCCCCCCCCCCAGTCTGGAATCTAGCTCAATTAGTGGGAAATTGGCATAGCAAGACCATAAGGGAAAAAATGGGTTTACCTTAACCCTCACTCTCCCTTCACCCAGCAACTTGCAGAAGAGTAACTGCCTTGACCACAAACAATAAACCCCTGGAAATGCTGCTGATGGCAAACACTGCGCTGGAGAGCAGCTGGGCTGATCTCAGGTTCTGTCTTTTGATGGAGACTAAGTTTCAGATGTGTGCTTCAAAATCATTTGCCTTGACCACCTTCACTCCACAACTTAACAAAAAGCCAAGTGGGATTTTTATTCTTCCAGCAAGATATGATGTAAGCATATACATCTCTGCACAGCTAGGATTAAGTGGGTTGAAACAGGAACATGTTGAAGAGAATATTAAGTTTGGGGTCAGGCATGGAAGACAAACATAAATTTGTATTTCATTATTATATTTCAATATCAAGAAATTATAAGCAAGAAGCTCAGTATATGCAACAGAAGTAAATTCTAGGATATTATTGGAAGACTAACCAGAATATCATACCTATTTGTCTGATTTTTCACAACACATAAGGTATGGATAGACACATATTTCAGGCAAATGTGTTTTATCAGCTATTCCTAGAATGGTCCAACAAGATCCCTGGGAACACACAACTCTTCCTCTACACATGCACGCAGCACACAGTGTCTGGGCAACAGCCCAGGTGTCAGATCCAGATGTGAACACATGCTAAAGGGCAAGCACACTGTGAAACAAGTAGGCTTCTCTATGTTTATTAAAAGGGTGGTGGCCCTCCTTGTACAAATTGTCCTAGTGATGTAAGACTCTATTCCATCTTGCATATAATCAGTCCAATATATGTTAATGGTTTCATAACTTTATAATTGTTCCCTTTCAATCTTTTTCATCCATGCAAGCAGATAGTCAGGATAATGTTAAATTGAAATTTAATCCACTCTGGGAATATAACTTGCTGAGAAAAGAAAACTAAGATAACTGATTAAAATGTTCAAGCAGCCTTAGTTGTTCTTTTACGACAATATTGTCCTCCCATTGCCCAGCTTTGCTTCATTCCAAACTGTATCTGTCCAAGTTAAATTATTTTCCTAAATTATTTTAATTAACTTCTGCTGAACTTCTCAGTGTGGACTGTCATCTAATGTTTGTCAATTAGCTAAAGGGAGAGATTCAGCTCACAGATTAAGACTCCAATTTAGCTATCTGCTCTGAATTTCAGAAAACACAGCTGCTCAACGCAGGGACAACGCTGAATTCAGACCACTTTACTCAGGGTTTGTCCAGTCAGGTCTTGAAAGCCACCAAGAGCTGAGAATCCCAAAGCTCCCTAGCTAACTGGTTACAAATGTTTATTTTCATTGCAATAAAAAGCTTTCCTTATGTGTCATCAGACCCTCTCCTTATTCAGGCCACCTTCTCTTGTTCTTCTGGCACGACTTAAGTAAAAACTTGGCTCAGACCTCTTGTCACCATCCTCCTAGGTACTGCACGGGCACTATTAGTGCCTCTGAAGCTGGCTTCTCCTCCTGGCTGCACAAGCTACATTGACAGCATTATGGAAAATGTTGTATTCAAGGAGTTAGTGATCTTGAAGAGTACGTGTCCATTCTACTGAGCCTTGTACTTAAAGGGTGTGTTGACAGCGGTGAATATTTTGAATTAGATGACATGCCAGCCTGTCAGGAGAAAATACACGTGATTGCCACACAAAAGAAAAGCTCCACATTTTGGAAAGAAGGTGGAATCCCTCCACAGATGGCATCTGTGCTGGGGAAGATCGAGGTAATGTCTGTCAGATGCTGCACAAAAATGGAGTTCCCAGCATTGGAAGAGACCTAAGATTTCCTCATTATCCATATTGCTGGGGTTTAGCCTACTTTAAGAAAACAGCTACTTCATTACCCTCTTTATTGTTGTACCCCCTGGTGCAGAGCACAAGCCCAGCTCACTCAGCCTCTCTCACTAGGCTACATTTTCCAGCCCTCTGATGATCTTCACAGTGCTATGCTGAGCTCATTCATGCTCACCAACACCTCTCCTGTGCAGGGGCTCCAGAGGAAATATTCCATGTGTGGTGAGTGGGGAGTGCTGAGCTGGTGGGGAATAAACACTTCCCATGAATTCCACGTGACCTGTGTGTGTGTCAAGTCCCATCACAATCTTTGCCTTCCAAAAACTGCATGAATTGCTGTGCATTGCAGATTTTTTTGCCAAACCAGGTAAGGAATATACGTGGAAGCAGAAATATATGCATTTTAGGGTTAAATGCCTTCAACCAGTTTCTAAAACCCAGAAACTGTTTAATTTTTGACAGACATTACTTATTAAATACAACTTGTGAAGGAAGAGGTTTGCAGTCTTTTACTTTGGAATGGATAAGCGAGTTCTAAAATGCTTCTATTTAAGAAAAAATCAAATGGGAAATATTGCTGTCTGCTTTTGATGTAAGAAACCCAGGTCTGCCTCTTTTCTCAGAGAGATTCTGCAGATGTGAAGAGCTAGTAGATTATTGTTAGTGCACTTGACTAGCCATGAAAACCAACTAATTAAGAAAAACAAATTTTTGCATGAGTTGCTACATATTTAAAGGATTTTAGAGGAATCAAAAATTATTTCCTTACTGCTGATGTGATTCTATTTACATTCAAATATTAAAATGTACAAACAGCTTCCACAGGCCCTATAGGGAGGAAAGGACTAGAATGTGCAGTAAAAGACTCAGTTACCAAGAAGATGATAGAAACATTTAATTCTTAATACCTTTTTGCATAAAATACTTACTTAGTAATATATTCTAAGGTAGATAAAAGGAGTCACCATAGTAATTGCCCTATTGATAGGGACTACGTTTGAGGAGATGTATTAAGTAATGTAAATACATATCAGTAGCATGAAATTTTATGAGAACTGCTTTATGAGAACTTGCACTACTTATGGAAGCAGTGCAATGCATTGCAAATGGATTCTTTCCTACAGGAGATTAGTCAAAGTTACACATGAATACTGTTCAACACTTAGCCTGTAGCACAGATGCATTTACAGCAAGGGAGGTCCATATTTTCCACTAAAGTAATACTGCTTATTTCCAGAACCTGACAGATAAACTACTTTGTTGTAAGTCTTTTTTACTGAACTAAAACTACATACACCTTAATGATACTGTACAATCTCCTACAGTTCTGGATTCTTAAAAAAAAAAAAAATCCCACCATTAGTACAGCAGTTATTTTAATATACAAGGTTCTTTGGACCCGGCTTCACAGTACACTTATATAGTTAAAAAGTTACATCTAAAGGAAATGTGCCAAGAGAAGACAGAGACAAATACATCACAGACTATTACAGACAGCATATAATGAG